ACCTTTTAGTCAATGATTCCAAATCAACATCTCTGTCTCTATTCTCTATAAAGTTTTCTTCTATTACTAGGACAAGATAGAGAAATGTAATACGTAATCACCGCTATATAATTTATTTTAATGTGAATAACTTTCCATATATGCAGTGTTGTTTAAAAGAAATGCTACTAGAACTTGTTTCATTTCTACTTCTTTATACGATATCCACTTTAGTTTCGAAAACCGCTCTAAATTACCATTGTTATGGTCTTTTAATTTAAAAAATACCGAATACCAGCGTAAGAGCTAAATATTGCTTATATGTGTGTCTACGTCATTTGGATTTTTAACGTAGCGTTAACAATTTTTCAGTCATATCGCTACGATGTCTGCAATGTGACAGTTTATAGTGATTTCTAGCACTGGGGTATGTCCAACCCAGTCCAATTATCCTGCCACCAAGCCGACCAGTCCGAGCACTAACCTGCTAAATCTGAACGCTAAGCAAGGTAGCTGTTGGTACCATTTTTAAAAGTCTTTGGAAACTTTGGTTGCGGTTAAAACCCGCGACCTCCCGCATCCGATAAGATATATGTTTTATGCTGTACCAAAAACCGTAGATTTCTCGTCAAAGAAATCGTGTTCCTTTTCACAAAAACACACAGTATACATGCATTTTGCATTCCAACCTTGTAAGTTCCACTTTGTTCAGAGACAATAAACAGTGTCTGATTTCCAAGCGAACATAAACAAAATTGGTTATATCGGTATTGCATGCTATCGAAGATAAGGACAAACTAAAGTAAAAAAGACATGATTTCTGATCGAAAGAAATATTCAGAAATCTACCTTCTGAATTCATTATTAAATCTGACAGCAGTCTTGGCTTATCGATTTATCATTGACATCAGTCTCATTCCAGAAGAACTGATCTATGAATGTTTGATCCAGTTCTCTTATAGTATGGATTACAATGTCAAAAGTTGTATTTATTATTCATTTATCAAGCGCACTGGGGAAGGATGCAATCCATGCATAGCGAGTCTGTATTCTCCTGGAAATAGAGTAATGCTATCTCCAAGAGTTTGTATTCTTTCTTTGGGTAGAGACTTTGGGAGTTATTTTCTTATACTACTTATATGTTTGTTTTGTTTCGTGTTTTAATGGGTTGGGGAGGATTATTCATCAGTTTAGAAGGATTTAAATACATGAAAGTATTGAAGCTATTGAGCCGTCTGTAAATATGTATGGATGCCCACTCAGTAGGGTGCAGTGATGAAAATTGTGTGTAATCGTGATGAAACGAACCTCTTTAACAACAAGGAGAGTGATTAAGTCCTCTGCGTTGTGTCAATTCTGTCCGAAATTAAACCTTGCATTTCTTCTTCCTGAGTGCTTTGTCCATACTTGACATAAACTGTTAGCCGAGTAATGAATCAAAAACCTATTTGGTTTAAACAAATAAAGTCAGCGTTTATTTACGAATTCCTGTAAAGTCATCGATTCTAGATCGAGAAGGATTTATCACTGGATATAATTGAAATTGAATTATCGTTATTTAGGAACATTGGGAAATGTGGACGTTGAAGAACAACTTTAGTTTTAGCCTGTTCATATAAATCTATGTCATATTCCATCTTTATTAAAGGGCAAATAAATATATCTTGAACAAGATCAAATATAATGATATTTATTTTATTTTCTATATGTTCTTAATATCTTGACAGATCTCTCTACAGTTTGCTAACATTTTATAATAATAGATATCATGAAAAACAAAATCTGGGTAATGTGGACCTCACGTTAGTGTCAAGATGTAATCTCAATCGCGAGAGAAATCACTAAATGTATGTACACACACACACACACAAACACACACACACACATATATATATATATATATATATATATATATATATATATATATATATATATATATATATATATATATATATATATATATATATATGTATGTATGTGTGTGTGTTTTTTTCTGTCATGATGTCATGAACGCAGCAAAGAGGTGGAACGGATAAATTAAACTGTACACTTGAACAATTAAAAATGTGATATGTCGCTAAAGATTTATTTGCATATATTGAAACACTTTGGTAACAACCATATGCAAATGTTTGTGTACTCTCGCATATAGACAATGATGTATATCGATAAAGACACGAAATGTTTTAAAGTATGCTCATCGCCAGAGTTACGATTGGTTCATTGCTGTCTAGACATTATTTCCTCCTGACAAGTATATTATTATATCATCATTCAATATTATTGATTTTGGAAGCCATTTACAATTTATTCAGTTATTCAAATGAAAACTATACAGCTTAAAGAGCATAAAACGTGCTTTTCATACCAATGAAGACTTGAAGAAACATCAAGGTACTTCTAGTTGTCAGCCATCTAGCAAGTAATTTAGAAAGTAACGTGTTATGCTGTAACCGTGGAGACCAATACGCCGTACTGACCGAAGTGAGAATGACAGATGATGTTACATTTTATGCTAGTATATTAGGTTCTACGCAATTCAGATTAACACAAATAGCATGGATCCCTATTTAAAGAAACACTGTCCTACTGCAGACTTGTGTCGCTGCTGCATGAATAAATATGTTTTTGAATTTAACGATGTCTGCAATGTGGTATTTTATCGTGATGTCTAGCAGCGAGAGCATCATGTCCCACCCAGTCACATTATCTAGACACCAGGCCGACCATTCCTAACAATAACCTCTTAAAGCTGAGCGCCAAGCGAGGAAACTGCTAAGACCATTTTTATGTCTTTTGTAAGACTCAGCCGGGGTTCGAGCTCGCGACCACCCACATATAAATCTTATCACTAGACCACCGGAGCAGTCTCTATATGAATAAATACGATAAAATCAGTAACGTCATCTATTACAATTTTTCATTAATTCACAAATGTGCATGCTATAGCTTTTGCGCTATGCACTAAACTAAGCGCATCATAATAATGCCCAGTAAGAACAAAAATTAATCAAGAAAATCATCGCGTCAGCTTTTTAACGCTTGGAGAGTCGCCATTATATTTTACCTGGAGACATTTAATTGTTCCGGGTTTGTTTGTACTTTTACTTTCCAGTTTCCAGAAATTCGCATGGTAATTGATAACATGAGAGGTAAGGTGGAAGTTGGACTGCAAAAGTATACAATGATTCCTATCAGTCTTTGAATATCTACAAAACCGATAGTTATTGTTCTTTCTGCCTTGTATTTAAACCTTCACTTTGAAAAAAATAAAGATTGACGTCGGAGATGTTCAAAGTGAAACTTTACGTATCTTAATTTAGTGCAATTATAGGACGCTTTCTAGCATAAAGTATCAGTTATCTAAATACACCTTTGAAATGATGAAAGAAAATTAAAACCTTCATTCTACAAAAATGGTTTCAACGTCGATAGCTACCACCGTATTTCCATCGGGGTTTTCTTTTTTCTTACTGAGTATCTCCCGAAAGGTTTGCATTTATATTTTAAGATCTGTTCTGGTTTAGCGACTATTTTTGAGAAGAAATCCTTTTTGTAAGAGCTTCACTTATTTATGTGTCAGCTACAGGTAAAACTAATTCAACCAATACATATGTAATATCGAAAGTTAGCCAAAGCTCCACAGATAGGCAGAACGTATATATGCTTTACCTTACAACGATACACACTAAATAATATTTATTTATATTTCTTCTTGTTAGTGGTATATTTTGAACATTATTTTATTACAAATATGAGTATTGGAGTGCTCGATCTTGCAACTTTGCCGGCGCACAACATTTAAGAGCAGGCGATAAACTCTTGACGGAAAAATCACAAAAGATACGATCGTTTTAAAATACCTCGATTTAAGCTGTTTTAATACATGAATATACCAGTCTTGTTTTAAAATTTCATGCAATTTTCTAGTATATATTTTCTAAACGGAAAAGCAGTAGATTTTTTTGTTGTAATCTATGATAGTTTGCTGGCTATCTCTATATGTTATCTCTATATCCATGTCCACGGCATATAAATACAGTACTTTCCCAAACATTCGTTTTAGCAGTAATGCATGTTTATGATAGATCATTCAGTGTTGAATGTTACTGTCCAGGTTCATCGGCAGCAATTAGAAATAAAATATATCTAAGAGTAACTAAACAGTTTAGCTACACTTTTACATGTGACTGGTATTAAACTTAAGTGATTAGATGAGTAAAGCAAATGTGCTACCCATACCTTAAACCTGTTGGGATTCATTTATTGTAAACCTTATTAAATTTTCAAATCGTGTCCCTTCTTGTAAATGTACCTTGTCTAGATTGTAAGATATCCTTTCGTATTCTTTCTAACAATGCTTGTATATCATGTAACAGAAATGGCAGGTTCATCTGGTATTTCAAATGTTATTATATTACTTAACATTCACATAGCACATGCGTAATTCTACTTCAGAAAATAAACAATTTTCAAACTTTAAATGGATTTCTTGATAGATAGACCACCCGCTGATACTTTTCTTTGCTTTCCAAATTCTCTCTTTGTAACTGAACAAAGTTGCTACAAATATATAGCATTTACTAGTTGTACTAACATGAAGATAGAGGAAATTGTAAACGTGTTTGAAGAGCAATCTTACTAAATGCCCAGTTTATTGTAAAATATAATTTTCGGCATATGCTACTATTTTAATGACGTGTGTGTGTGTGTGTGTGTGTGTGTGTGTGAGAGAGAGAGAGAGAGAGAGAGAGAGAGAGAGAGAGAGAGAGAGAGAGAGAGAGAGAGAGAGATTTGGATTTTTAACGCAGCTTAAATATGCTTCAGTCATATCGGTACGATGTCTGCAGTGTGGGAGTTTTTATACTGTCTAGTATTAGGCACCATTCCGCAGACACGTAGCATGATATCCCACCCAGTCACATTATCCTAGCACCAGGCTGTCCACTCCTAACACGAAACTCTTAATTCTGAGCGTCTAGCAAGGCAGCTATTCATACCATTTTTATAAGTCTTCGGTATGACTCTGTAGGATTCGAACACACGACCTCCCGCATCCGAGGCGGACATCTAACCACTAGACCACCAGAGCGGTCTTAAATAAAATCGGATTCGTTGCTGTGAACGCAAACTAGGCTACGGAAGAATGTAAAATTTAAGGTGTTGTATTTAGTTTTTAACTGTAGGCCATGGATGGATCCAAATTATTATGCTACATTGTTTGATGGAGAAATAAAAATAAATATTTCCAATTGACGGAGAAATTGTTTTTAACAATTTACGGGGGAAGAAAACAAATTTGACAGTTCTCACATTTAAATCCTTTGTGTAATAAAAAGATCTCCAAAACAACACATATTTAAAGAAAATCTGTTTCGATCTGCTAAATGCTCTTAACAAAAATGAAAACTGTAACAAACACATGCAGTTTAGAAGACATTACATTTCACTTTGAATAGATCAAAGATTGTGAAATAAACAACTCATTCGTAACATATATCAAGCACGTGATATGGTGGAACTATCTAAACACATAATCAGAGCATCACGATCTTTACTCGGTGCCATTGACTAATACACAATAGTGAATATAATGAATATACCTAAATATCGTTCTAATCCTATCACATAATCTATGTGAAAGTAAATAATAAAGAGATACCATCGTTGCTATCGCATGCTGCCTCTGTTACAATGGATCTCGAGAAACGGAACAAATGATGCGCAATTCAAGAAACTTAACTGGTATAGTCCTTTAATGGACCAGATGAAAGATGGAAATGTTTATATCCTTATTTCGATTAAGTTAATTATTGTATATCCAGCTTTTGTACACAGAAAAAAAAAGAAATTAAATGAACACCTGATTTTCACTGATACCTTTGTTTGACTAAAAGATGACCTCCACACCCCAAAATGATGCTTTGCCATGATCGGTAAAATGGAGGTCAAATCTAAATTAACTAATTTGCTACGAAAATTGTTATTTTATTGCCCAAGGACTGCATTTTGCAAGGCTTGATGATCAATACTGTGCTTGCCAGTAGGCACGATACTAAATGCATGGCAAATATATTGATCAAACAGCAGTTTCACCTTTTTGGTTATTATTTTTATTTCCTATGAGATTTTACGCTATCTTGCCCTGACGTTTCAGACAAATTTTAATTTTGTGTGCCAGCTAAACAGAGTAGAAAGCTTGAACAAGCCGCTCTAATGTTCTTGTACATCTAACTGTGATCTTGGTTTTCATCAAAGCAAAGCGAGGTGAGGGTTTTTACACATTTGAGGAAAACCTCAAATCTTACTCAGCGATATTTTTATATGCAAGAGAATTCGAGATAGATATGATTTTAGATTCTTAGATTTCTGTTTAACTTTCAATTACAAATAGATTTTCCAAAACAAATAAAAACAGACAGATATAAAAAGTCTCTGTTTATTGAAGAAAAAGTGGTATGTTTAGTGCAATTGGGCAGACACTAAAATTTATCGATTTTCTTCATAAATTTCTTTTCAGATGGTTCATGCCATTTTCGAGGAGTTTATGGTTAATTTGTCTTTTGTGTAGCTCGAACTCTTGCTAATTTGGTTGGCTTGACCGACCGACCTTGTTGCGATGTGGCAAAGAGTGAAGACGTACTTAAACTTTAGTATGAATAAATTATGCTTTGAGATTAACATAGTAAAGGCAGAAAGGTCTTGAGAAAGTTCACTGATTATTTCTTATATTCATCTCTATCTCTGGATCATAAAAGGGTCTACTTTTATGCTTTAGCAGCATTGACAGTGACATACCTGTATTAGAACACCAACCCTATCGTGAGGCGCACGTCAAATAATTGATTTTTCAAATGAAAGCTAATTGCAAAAGGTTTTTATGACTGCCAAAATCTAATGAAATACATCATTATTTGGAGAGAATTTTGTGAACAGTTATTACCGATTGATCAGGAAAACTAAGGGCGTACACTTGTGAAACCAGAATTTGGAGATCTGATGGATTGCATGTAATCCAAATATTCAATATGTAGTATTTCATGGGGATTTATGATGTAACTCAAAGAATGAAAATATGCAGTATTTCATAAGGATTTATGAATTAACCATAATATAAAAATGGGTCATATTTTGATGTTTACATAAATTGATTCTCTGTGTAGGATGTTGTTGTTATCGTGAGCTAATGATAAGTTATATTTATAAAAGATTTCGCAATGTTTAAATGATCTTACATGTTATTGGTGATTGTAACTAGATTAAATCGATATTATGCCATTAGTAATTAAGCATTTATTTTTTTCAACAGAATTGGCTAGCCAGAGGTAAATAAGATGTGTAGTAATGTATGCTAGTAGATACGGACTTATTTGTTTGAGAAAGCTCGTGGTAATTCATAATCAACTGCCGCGCCGAGTGCAATGAACTTCGATCTAAAGTCATTTGTACTAATGTAACGGTACCTTACCGAAACATAGAATCTGTAAAGACAATTATTTTTTAAGATCACATTATGTCAGAATTTGTGCAGTGCAAACCACCTAATCTGAATACGGGGATATATATATATATATATATATATATATATATATATATATATATATATATATATATATATATATATATATATATATATATATATATAAACTCAAATAATTGTTAAAACATAATTAGTTCTCGTAATACTCTCATATTTAAAGAACAGATTTATAATCAGAGAGAGAGAGAGAGAGGGGGGGATGAGAGGAGATAAGAAAGGAAACACGATGAGCCAAGGAGAAATCTGCATCTGTGACAGAACGGACTAAATAGGGGTTGAAAAGTGGAATTTTGGTTATATACTAATTTATTAAATTTGTTTTAGTTATTGGAAAACGGGGCTTGCAGTTGTTTATTTCTTTCAATCGCTTGCTCAGCTATCTGTTAACGTTCCATCTTTTCATCCACACGGAGAATAACACCGTGGGAGATCATTCCCTGGTTAACAAACGTCAAATCAATCAAGGAGGTTATAATGTTTTATAATCACTCCGTTTACACTTGCCTTAGCCATATTTGCACAGGTGAGAACAAATAATATTGCAAAATAAGAGGTATTAGACCACAGTGAAACACATAAAACAAGTGTTCCCCTATCATACTATCTTTATGTTATGTTCCAACTACATTTATCCAGTATTTAAACTTCCTGCTATAAGAAGAAATGAAAACATCAACCATTTTCTCCAATGTTGATAATTCTGTCCCAACTAGGATTTAAATATCTATACATTTTTTACTGACGAAAAATAATGATTTGGATTTGCTTTGGTATTCGTCAGCACCCCAATGCAAATGGCTTATTGGCGCCCTTGCAGTTAGATTAAATTGAAGTACCTTAGGTTACCGTACCTATGACGTACCACAATAGCCAACGCCGGCTATTCCGGTAGTAGGATTTGAATTCACTTATTTTTACCCTCATTACGTCACATTATAAAAATTGTTAGCCAAACCATCATTAACATTTAGCAACGTAAGAAAACAACATCATTGAGTTGTTCTCTCCTTAGGTTATGCGGTTATTAGAAGCTTCCACTCTTGCTGCTTTGACATGAAATTTATAAAATTTTGTATAATATTAAATGGAGGATATTTTCTTTTCTAACCTTAATATATGAGTTTTATTATCTTATGGTACAAGAAACTTAATATTTCAACAACTGGTCATATTTTTTTCCGTACGTTTCTATAGTTTACTCTTTAGCGCACAATACAAGATGGCATTCACTGCAACCATCTTTTGCATGAAATAGAAGTCTACAAGTCAAGGTCGAATTTAGGTATACTCTAAACAAGCTACATATTAAGGCCCCATATTTAAAAAAATCATCTAAAAATTTCAGAAGTTTTAAAATTGTTACAGTATTATTATAATTTATATTTAAGTAATAACTCAACCCCTGACGTTTTGCTTAATATGTTAAATAGTATTGTCTATGCAATATATTTTACATAAATTACATAATTTGCATTGTAAGAATTAGCACAAAAATTTCAAGTTCAGTTATTACACAGCCTTATTCTCTGTTAACACTTACCAAATAGGGCCTCGATAGCTTCCCATAGCATAGGTCCTCGATAGCTTCCCATAACAAAGTACATCGATAGATTTCCATAGCACTAGGCCTCGATAGCTTCCCATAACAAAGTACCTCGATAGATTCCCATAGCACAAGGCCTCGATAGCTTCCCATAGCACAATGCCTCAATAGCTTCCCATAGCACAGGGCATCGATAGCTTCCCATAGCAAGGTGCCTCAATAGCTTCCCATAGCACAATGCCTCTATAGCTTTCCATCGCACAGGGCCTCGATAGTTTTCCAGAGCAAAGTGCCTCGATAGCTTCCCATAGCATAGAGCATCGATAGCTTTCCATAGCAAAGTACCACGATAGATTTCCATGGCACAAGGCTTCGATAGCTTCCCATAGCATAGAGCCTCGATAGCTTTCCATAGCAAAGTACCTCGATAGATTTCCATAGCACAAGGCTTCGATAGTTTCCCATAGCATAGGACCTCACCATATCTAAATCGGGAACTGCACCAAGTTTAGGATGAATTTCAAATAAAATGAATACTCATATATTATACATATAAATACATAGGTATTTTTTATTCGTGATATTAATGGTTTTCTGGATAAATTACAATATATTTACACAGTAATAATACGTCTTCAATTTGTTTTGGTGGCAGGCATTATGGGTATTTAAACACTTGATACGTTCTTCGTCGATGAGTCATACAACTATCCTTAGTGGTGGGTATTTAACACATGATAGGTTTCTGTGGGTGAGTCACACATTTAGTCTGTGTGGTGGGTATATAAATGCTTGATACTTTCCTCGTGGATGCGTTATACATTTATCTTATATATCGGGTATTTATAGGCTTCTTTGATAAGTTCCTCGTGAATAAAACTGGACTTGATCATGGTTTCTATGACTCCTTGTAAGACTTTGTTAACTATTCTCGATAAGTTAAATTTCAAGCAAAGATCTTATAATTTGTATAGATATGTTCACCATATACGTAAAATAAACAATGTCTGCGT